ACATTTTTTTTTTCAAAATCATCTACATGTTCTCAGAAATTCAAATCTGACTTTAGATTTGACATTTGACCTTCAATGACCTTCTCAATGACCTTCTCAATGTAAAAAAAGGTATTTTTTCATCTTGCTTCAAATTGACTAAATTTTTTTTTCAAAATCATCTACATGTTCTCAGAAATTCAAATATGACTTTAGATTTGACATTTGACCTTCAATGACCTTCTCAAGGTCAAAAAGGTCAAAAAGGTCTTTTTTCAACTTGCTTCAAATTGACTAATTTTTTTTTCAAAATCATCTACATGTTCTCAGAAATTCAAATCTGACTTTAGATTTGACATTTGACCTTTAATGACCTTCTCAAGGTCAAAAAAAGGTCAAAAAGGTCTGTTTTCAACTTGCTTCAAATTGACCAAATGTTTTTTTCAAAATCATCTACATCTTTTCAGAAGTTCAAATTTGACTTTACAAGTTCTCAGAAGTTCAAATGTGACTTTAGATTTGACCTTTTACCTTCAATGACCTTCTCAATGTCAAAAAGGTATTTTTTCAACTTGCTTCAAATTGACTAATTTTTTTTTTCAAAATCATCTTCATGTTCTCAGAAGTTCAAATCTGACTTTAGATTTGACATTTGACCTTCAATGACCTTTTCGAGGTCATAAAGGTCTTTTTTCAACTTGCTTCAAATTTAATTTTTTTTTTTCAAAATCATCTACATGATCTCAGAAGTTCAAATCTGACTTTACATTTGACCTTCAATGACCTTCTCAATGTCAAAAAAAGTCAAAGAGGTATTTTTTCAACTTGCTTTAAATTGACCAAATTGTTTTAGGTGGTGACATTTTGTCATGTTAATGCCTTGTTTATTCTATACTTTGTATTTGCTTCCAATGTAGTAAAGTTGATACTTTTATGAACAAGAATGTCCTTTTAATGGCCATTTTGTATTCCTTTTATTTCCATACCATGTTTTGATTTTGCCTCAATGTTATTGTGTCATAGTGTTTTTGCTTTAAAAAGTCAAGAAATGTCAACTTTTTAATTAAAGAATGTTGGTTAATCTCTTGTGGTAAATCACATTTAATTGTTGATGATGTCAACGGACCATGAGATAACACATTGTCCGGGGAAAGATATCAATATCAGTTATATATTGGATAGAAAAATAAATATTATAGTAGATGCTAATTGTTTGCTCTGAAATAATGTGACTAATGACTATTCCAGCGAATCAGGTAGATATTTCTCCGGTTTTTGTGTAATGAAAGTGTTTAGTTTTCGTTTCTATTAATTTGACAAGTAGGGTCGTTGATAAACACATTAACTGTAAAAGTATTTATTGGAAGTAATTGTTTTAACAGTCTTTTCGTTTTTCTTTTTGTCTCTCAAATGGCATAGGCGTAGCCAGGGGGGAGGGGTGCGGTGCATAACCAATAAAATAGAATCATGAAATAGAAGAAGAGAAAAAAGCTTCTAGCTCAATTTTGAAGGAAGTTGCATCTTTTAATTGGCTTGCTTTTGCCACGATCGCACCCCCCTCCCCCGACTGAAAACTGCACCACCCCCCCACTGAAAGTTGGCTACGCCCCTGAATAATAGGTGCACTATATTACGCTGTGTGCAGAGTCGTATTATAAACTACGAGAAGTTGAAACTCTCTTTTAATAAGTCGAACGAATGCAAAGGGTAGGGTACTATAGAAGGGGATCATATAAAAGCACGATCTATTTCACAATGCCTTTAACTTCTGTTCTTCAACTGCTGCCCTTTGTGCATTTCAATAAAATTTCTTAATCTGATTTGTTCCACCTTTCCTTTCGCTCAGTTCTGCAATATTATGTCCACATGTTATTGAGGATTTTGTCCACATACACATACAGTACCTACATAACAATCGGAGACAGAAGTCTTAATATTGTCCAATAAAAAAATAAGAATCTAACATTTAATGATAACAAAAGGATTAATTGCTTAGTTCTTTTTGTCTTAGTCTTTGTTTTCTTAAATGCGGAAGTGTACCAACATCACCTAGATTACATAAGAGATCATATAACAGTCTAAAATTGCAAGTTAAAGCATTCCGACCAAAATGTGTATACCTGTAATTTGGGGGGGATGTTAAATCACATAACTACAACGTTCATATAGAAATATACAATAAGGATGTCCATATAAAAGCTAAAATTATAAAAACTCATTTCAAAGTCATTCTGTTCATGGAAGCGTCAAGTTATGAAAAACAATGCTAAACACTCAAATAAAACGACTTAATTACCTTTGAAAACTTCTTGAGAGGAAATGGACAAATGTATTTTTCTAACTCATTAGAATGTCTGTCTGATTGAAATACTATTTTTTAAATACAAACATAAATGAATAAATCTTGGTCAGAAGTCTGAACATTGTCCAACAAAATAATAAGAATCTAACATTTAATGATTACAAAAGGATTAATTGCTATATAGTCTTTGTCTTAGTCTTTGTTTTTCTAACAGCGGAAGTGTACCAACATCACATTGATTACAGAAGAGATCAGTCTAAAATTGCTTTTAATTCCCGGGTTTTAATTACATTTATGAATAGAGTTTCTTGCCTCTATTCTCATTTTTAAACCTGTCTCTGTTTGCGTATTTAACAATTGTGATAAATTATTCAATTAATTTCGAAATCAAAATGACTTTCTACATTATAGTTCCCTCCTCTTGCACTGACTAAATAAGAATCAATCTGATTATCTGATCTATATGCTATTTGATTCGTGGGTTTTATCAGAGTAGAACTACATGTACATGTATTTAAAATTGATAGAAACTCTCAGATTGTATCAATTAACATCTTCGGATGCGTGGCCGGCTTTCTGTCACACATATGAGTCTGTGTACCAACTCAAAATATAGCTCTACGCCCATGAAAGTTCACATATTCTTTAACCTCTTGACTACCTCGAGTGATGAGATTTCTCATCACCTCAGAAATCACCTTAAAACCCAGAGAGACAACATAATCCCTCACAAAATTTTTCACTAAAATGGCTCTTATTTGAACAATTTTCATCCAATTTACACCAAAATTGTTTTAAAATGTGTATGTGTAATTTTAAAAGTTGTATAGATATGTAGTAAAATGTTAAAAAGGTGGCAAAAATTCTCTGGTTTCAACCAATTTTAGAGCCTGGGATTCAAGAGGTAATGAACAATGTGCGTTTAGGATATCACAATTGTGCAATGGTCATGATTCAAATTTCCTTTTTAAAATGGTGTAAGGTTCTCAAGATGAAGGGGACAAATGGAAAGTTTCACAGGTGTGTATTTAAAGATCCATGAGAATCACATCCAATGAAACTTAAAGTACTGGGTTTACAAAAACACTGATAGCCGACCACGGACCAGTCACTCTCCACAGTTAAGGACATATGGTTGGTGGAGGGCTGTAGGTCTTTTACATAGAGATGAAAAGATGCAAAATTAGAAGGAAGTAAAACTGGGAATCCAATGACTAGTACCTTTACAAGGTCGTGATTTAAAAATGTATTTAATCATTTCAAATCACGATGAAAAACGTAACACCGTCGTGGTGTGTCACAAATGTCATATTTTTAAGTGATGTCTCAGTTGTTAGAAGACCAATTTCACATAATGTTTGATTTCTCAGTTATTAAATGTCAACTGGTAAAAATTTACATTCAATATGGCAAAAAAGCTTTCAAATGGTGCACTGAAACGGTTTAATCACTTTTAATTCTGACTAAGAGAATGCACGTAACATTACATCGCGTTCAGTAGGCTATGACGATAACAAATCATTTTTATTTCGAAATTGGATGTTAGATCTTTCAGTAAAAAATTAGGATAGATTTCGGTAGAAACTAGAGGTTGATTAATGGTAGGTTAGGAACCTAAGGCAGGGCAATTAAATCGAGAGGAGATGGTCATGCCAAATTTGTTTGCTTGCCTTTCGTTTAAAGGAACAAAACCGGTAAAAACTTTGCCTGTTGTTACCACTCACTTTTTGACATTACGTCCCATTATTTCCACATTGTTATAACTCACTTTTTACAGGTTTTGAGATAAGTATACCATCTTTCTCAATTTTTCACGAAGAATTCATTTCTGAGGTCCATTTCAATGGATCTCTTGTCCTTTTGGAGATATCCAGTGCCACATTGTTATAAGTGCAAAATGAGGAAAAAAAATAGGCCGACCTTGTCATATCCGTTTTGGTAGGCAGGAGAGCCAATCAGATCCATAATTTTGATCATGTGACTAATTGTTATAACAATGTGGAAATAATGGGACGGTCTCGATTTGCTACTCTGTGGAGTTGCTGTTTTTATCACACCATCGGTGGGATATAGTCGTCATACTGGTCGTGGTCGTGATCGTGGTCATGATCGTCCCGCTTTTTGTCATCGCCTTTTAAGGAAAACTGCTTATCAGATTTTCTCCATATTCGCAGAGATAATAGAGCATATGAAGTACTAGAGCTGATTAAGTTTTGGGTGGCCATCTTGTTTTCTGGCGGCCAGTTTTCAGGAAAACCGCTCATTGGATTTTCTTCAAATTTACACAAATGATAGAGGATATCAAGTACTAGAGCTGATTAACTTTTGGGTGGCCATCTTGTTTTCTGGCAGCCATTTTGAAGATTTTTCGAAAAATCTTGTCATCGCTATTTCAGAAAATCCACTCATCGGATTTCCTTCAAATTTACACACATGATAGAGGATATCAAGTACTAGAGCTGATTAACTTTTGGGCGACCATCTTGTTTTCTTGTTCTTGAAATTTGTAAACATAATAGGAGAACAGTTTTCCTGGTTCATAGTGTCTGCCTATTTGATGGTGTGATCTCGTTCACGTCCTGTGCCTTGTTTCTAGTTGAATTAATTGCACCCATCGGTTGGTCTACCATTTTTCAATAACATGCGTTTTGGATTATAAGGAATGGTGAGATAATATCCCAAAGCTGCTATGATTTAAATGATCCTCCACATATTTCAGGTGAGAGTGTATGACCCAAAGTGTGGCCAGAGAAGACCGGTGCTGTCTATGGAGTTTGATGAACATCCAATCACAGCCATGGACCTTGTAAATGACATGTAAGATTTGTATTTGTCATTCCCTATCAGTGAGAATCTCTTTATCAGGTCCTCATTGCAGTCTCTATTTTTATCACTCCATTGGTGGGATATAGTCGTCATAGTCATCGTGATCATAATTATCCCATCGAACAAAGTTCGGAGGGATATAGGGAACGCCTCCGTCCGTCCGTCCGTCCGTACGTACGTCTGTACGTACGTCCGTCCATCCGTCTGTCCGTCCGTCCGTCCGTCCGTCCGTCCGGGCAATAACTCAAATACGGTTGGCCAGATTTTGTTCATATTTTGTACACATATACCCTATGGGGTTAGAAGTTCTGCTCGAAAGCCGATTTTCAAAATGGCTACTCATTTCAAAATGGCGGCCATTTTAGTGACGATTTTACAGTAATTTAGTTGCAATATGTAAAACTGTAATAGCAATATGTTTTAAATGTAAAAAAAATTATAAATTAATAATGCTACAAATGTAGATATTAAAGAAGCACATGGCAGCCATCTTGAAAAATGGCGGCCTTTACTCGTCATTTTACGATTTTTGCTGTAACTCAAAAAGTAGTTGAGTGATTTTGTTCATATTTGGTATGTGGATACTATAATCATTGCACACTGCCTATGACACTTTTGGTAGAAGGCGGCCATTTTGAAAAAAAATTTGTAAAATGGCCGCCATTTTAACATATTTCTTTATAACTTGAAAAGTAGTGGAGCGATTTTGTTCATATTTGGTATGTGAATACTATAAGCATGGCACACTGTCCTATGACACTTTTGGTAGAAGGTGGCCATTTTGAAAACAATTTTGAAAAATGGCCGCCATTTTAACGTATTTTACTATAACTCGAAAAGTAGTGGAGCGATTTTGTTCATAATTGATATGTGAATACTTTAAGCATGGCACATTGTCTAATAAAACTTTAGGGAGTAGTCGGCCATTTTGAAAAATGGCCACCATTTTTATGTGTGTTATTTTACAAGCATGTGTGCGATTTTTCAAAAATGTTAGAGGTGGCTACTTAAAAGCATATTATTTCTTCTGATGACAACTTGGCAAGTGAGCAACCATTTTGAAAATGGTGGCCTTTCTGGTGTGTTGTCTTATGATATTTGCGCTTCGTTTGTAAAAATGCCAGCCATTTCTGTTCGATGGGATTCGCTACGCTTTGGCGTTGCCGTTGTTCTGGTTGTGATAGTCCCACTTGTTTGTCATCGCCATTTTAGGAAAACCGCTTATCAGATTTTCGTCAAGTTCGCACACATGGTAGAGGATCTCGAGTTCTAAAGCTGATTAACTTTTGGGTGGCCATCTTGCATTCTGGCAGTTATCTTTGAAGTTTTTATCGTACCTAACAAAAGGTACGATATTGTAGTCAGCTTCGGAGGGATATAGGGAACGCCTCCGTCCGTCCGTCCGTCCGTCCGTCCGTCCGTCCGTACGTACGTACGTACGTACGTACGTACGTCTGTACGTACGTCCGTCCGTCCGTCTGTCCGTCCGTCCGTCCGTCCGGGCAATAACTCAAATACGGTTGGCCAGATTTTGTTCATATTTTGTACACATATACCCTATGGGGTTAGAAGTTCTGCTCGAAAGCCGATTTTCAAAATGGCTACTCATTTCAAAATGGCGGCCATTTTAGTGACGATTTTACAGTAATTTAGTTGCAATATGTAAAACTGTAATAGCAATATGTTTTAAATGTAAAAAAAATTATAAATTAATAATGCTACAAATGTAGATATTAAAGAAGCACATGGCAGCCATCTTGAAAAATGGCGGCCTTTACTCGTCATTTTACGATTTTTGCTGTAACTCAAAAAGTAGTGGAGCGATTTTGTTCATATTTGGTGTGTGGATACTATAAGCATTGCACACTGCCTATGACACTTTTGGTAGAAGGCGGCCATTTTGAAAAAAAAATTGTAAAATGGCCGCCATTTTAACATATTTCTTTATAACTTGAAAAGTAGTGGAGCGATTTTGTTCATATTTGGTATGTGAATACTATAAGCATGGCACACTGTCCTATGATACTTTTGGTAGAAGGTGGCCATTTTGAAAACAATTTTGAAAAATGGCCGCCATTTTAACGTCTTTACTATAACTCGAAAAGTAGTGGAGCGATTTTGTTCATAATTGATATGTGAATACTTTAAGCATGGCACATTGTCTAATAAAACTTTAGGGAGTAGTCGGCCATTTTGAAAAATGGCCACCATTTTTATGTGTGTTATTTTACAAGCATGTGTGCCATTTTTCAAAAATTTTAGATAACCATTTCACGGGATCACCACTTGGTGGGGACATTTTGTACACATTTGTGTTCTTGTTAAGATATGGTGACAAGGATTCATACCCATTACTGTACCTATAAGGACTTAGAAATTTTTTGAAAAGGGTAAATTGGAATTCCAGGATTATTTTATATAATATGAATCTTTAATAAGTATATTTTCAACAAATCACAAAAATAATCTTGATCTGCCACACACCAAGGCAACAAACTATCAGACAAGTATCAAATGGGTTAATTTATTTTTGATTTACCAGTCATGCATGGCTCTGAAGAGGATACGATGCAGAGGGACTGAATATTGATATCCATTTAGTCATTAAAGGGACACTGTTTGTAAGGTAGTTCTCATAATATTGAACACTAAAATGTTTTAAACAAAGAATCAAATGGGTCAATCTTCTTTTGATTCATCAGTCATGCCTATCTCTGGAGATGATATGTTGAAGAGACACTGAATTAATATCCATTTAGGGACACTCCTTGTAAGGTAGTTCTCACCCAAAGAAACAAATAGGCCAATATATCTTTGAGGATGAAGATGATTTTTATCCCATCGAACGAAGTTCGGAGGGATATAGGGAACGCCTAAGTCTGTCCGTCCGTCCGTCCGTACGTACATCCGTCCGTCCGGGCAATAACTCAAATACACATATACCCTATGGGGGTAGAAGTTCTGCTCAAAAGCCGATTTTCAAAATGGCCGCTCATTTCAAAATGGCGGCCATTTTAGTGCCGAATTTACAGTAATTCAGGTGCAATATGTAAAACTGTAATATCAATATATTTTAGATGTAAAAAAATTATATAGGACATTAATAAAGCTAGAAATGTAGATATTAAAGAAGCACATGGCAGCCATCTTGAAAAATGACGGCCTTTACTCTTTATTTTACGATTTTTGCTGTAACTCGAAAAGTAGTGGAGCGATTTTGTTCATATTTGGTTGGTATGTGAATGCTATAAACACCACTACGTACTTACCAAGTAGTAAACCTGAAGGGTGTGCAGATTACATTGCTGCACTTGATGATCTAGATAGGATACTTAACATGTGTTTACTGCAAACTCCAAATGTAATTTTAATGGGTGATTTAAATGGTCACATTGGTATAAGTGGAGGTCCAAGAGGTATTGGGAAGCCTTCAGTGCAAGGTGCACATTTAATTGATTTTATTTTTAGGAATGGGTTAATTGTGACTAACTTATTAGATATGTGTAAAGGCCCCCTTAGCACCTATGTGGGTCATATGGGTCAACAATCCTGTATTGATTATATTCTTGTCACACCAGAGTTGCATTTTAGTATATTGGAGGTCAAGCATTTAGCAGATTGTAATCTAAATACTTCTGATCATATTCCGATTTCAATTGTTTTAAAAACAAATGCATTTAAAAAATGTCATAACAGTGCTATAAGTCCTATGAAACTGTGCTGGGGAAAGTTAAGCTCAGACAATATTCAAACCAGATATACTGAACCACTGAATGGATATTTTAAGGAAGTCTGTGATTATTATGAAGATGTGGATATTGTTAATGGTAATGTAATAGATCAGGTGTTGAATGATGTATCTGCAGCAATGGTTAATCAAGGGAAATGTGCAATTCCTACAACTAAGTCAAATAGATTTCTTAAACCATATTGGAAAATGAACCCCCACTTAAAAACTTTAGTGGAAGAAAAGAACATTGACTATAAACGTTGGCGTAATGCGGGAAAGCCAAGACACCCAAATGACCCACTATGGCTGAAGCATAAAGAGTCAAAAAAGAACTTTAGAAGAGCGCTACGAAGAGCAGAATATGAATACTACCTTGATGAATGTAATGCTATAGAACAAGAAATAGACCAGCATAAACTATGGCATTTAATAAAACGCTCAGGCAACAAGAATAGCCAAACCAGTAGTGCGCCTAGCATAAGGAATGAGCAGGACATGTTAATAACTGAAGAAGATGAAGTAAGAGAGACATGGAAAGACTACTTTGAGAAACTGGCCACACCAGATGGAGATAATAATACATATGATGAGGAGTTCAAACAACAAATCGAAGATGACCTCAGAGTGATGGATGATCAGTCAAAGCATGAGCACTGTCCTGTATTAGATGACCCCCTTACTCCAACTGAGATTGCTGAAATATGCAAAGATCTGCCCAATAATAAAGCCCCAGGGTATGACAATGTAGCTTACGAGCATATTAAACATGCAGGACCAGCCTTATATAAGTTTTTAGCAGTCATTTTTAATTTTATTATAAAAATTGAATATATCCCACTTAATTTTAGGAAGGGTGTAATTGTACCATTATTCAAAGGTGGCAATCTAGATAAACTATCAATGGATAACCATAGGAGGATAACTTTACAAACCACAATATGCAAATTATTTGATGCTATAATACTCAGAAGAATAAAAGTTTTGCAAGAGCTAAATGTGATAAGACCACCATCAATTTATCAATTTGCAGGAAAACAGAATATGTCATGCTTACATGCCTCATTTTCATTACAAGAAGCCATGAGTTATTTTATGGAAATGGGTTCAGAAGTATATATTATGTATTTTGACACCAGGAAAGCGTATGATACTGTATGGTTAAATGGGTTATTCCATAGGATATATAGTCATGTTGGCATTAAAGGAAAATGTTGGAGAATTTTAAGGAATTTGTATTCCTCATGTCATGATGTTGTTCGAA